ATAATTGTACAATAAAACCTTTCCTAGCCTCCACAGGTATAAACTTAAAGGAATTTTGCACTTTTGGAATTTATTCTTTTTTAGGTTAGAGTATTTTGGTATTTACATAATGTAATATATAAGTCTGAAGGGAGAGATTTCTACTGATGTTTTTATGCCTAGTGAGAATAAGAAAATATAATGAAAACTCATATTCATAAGAATACATTCTCTAGTTAATGATTCCATTATAACTCTATGAAATCAGTTTTCAAAGGACTTCTAGAAAACTTAGATTGAATATGGACTTTATCCATAGGTAAATAATTTTTGGAAAATGTGAAGATCATGGATCTCATTGTATTGGTTTAAGGAATAGTGGTTCTTCTAGCTTTCTGATTGTTCTCTTCCTTAATTTGTATGAATACTGAAAAGCTGCTCTAGCTACAAGCTTTATAGGTGCAAAGAAGAAAAGAAAATTTGAAGTAAAGTTTAAATTTATTCAAGCAAAAACAGACTTTTGCTTTGGTAGAGCACCCAAAATCATGTCTAAGGCTACATTCAAGGAAAAAGGAAAAAAATAATATAAGAGAAATTAGCCACTGAGTTAATCTAAATTGCAGTAGTGATGAGGGGAGGAGAATGGGAGGTCAGGTGGGGTATCACGTTCACGTTCACAAATTCAGACTTTTGACATCATCTCCATATTTAGTTATACATATTTGTAGTCAAAGATATGACTGGCAAACTTGAAAAGAAGATGATACTCATTGTAAAGCTGGAAAGGTGTTTCACTCCTAGACCACCTTGTATGTTACACGTGATAGGTACATTTTTTTAATATACTTGTCATAACTTTGTGGATAGCAGAGTTGCATTGCATTGTATTTGTAAGTATTGATTTGTTAAATGAAATGTTCGAGTTATACCAGAGTTTCCCCCATTTTGAGTTTCTTTATTTTTTAAGTAGAGTAAGAGCCTATCCAAATGAAAGTACGCTGGCATTCTTTAACCTCTGAGAAACCCTGAACTCTCCAGTCCACTCTGTGTGATGTTTAAAAATGTATGACCCTGTTGTTACGTGTCTCTTTCTAAGGACAATGTGTCCCTGATGGTTATAGTCTCCCCTGTTAGACTCTCACCTAGGGCAGTAGTGGTCTTGTTAAGCTCTGTATCCTCAGTGTGTAGTGTGTAACATGGTGCTGAGCATATAGTAGGTGCTGAGAGGTTTCCATAACCAGATTAAACCCTTTTTTAGGTTTTTCATTTCTTAGTTATTTGAAATGTTCTGTAGAGGAATGCTCAAAGAATAAAATCCATTGAATTGTTTTTGGGGAAAAAATCTGTTTGGGAAATTTCTTGCCCTTTGTTAGAGAATCAAATGTTATTTTGACTAACGCAATGTATTTTATTTAACATGAGTATTTTCTTTATTCTCAATATAATCGTCCAAAACATTTTATGATCTCTACAGCTGCAGTGAGAAGAGGAGTTTGTTATTTTAACGGAGGCTGAAGAAACTGTAGAATTATCAGATAGAGAAAGTGGAGAAGGTAGAGGATGGAGTTGCAGACTCTACAGGAGGCTCTTAAAGTGGAAATTCAGGTTCACCAGGTATGTTGTATTATTGGCTTCTCCCACATAATGTTACTAAGTAATGGCTAAGATTAGTAAACAGGACCATCTCTGGTTTCTAATATAGTTTTGTTTTTTATTTTTTGAGACAGAGTCACACTGTGTTGCCCAGGCTAGAGTGCC